TCTTACACCATAGAAGGACTCTTGAAGCTTTCCTTCAGGCAACCTATCTCCTAGCTTTAGGTCTCCTACCTCTTCCACCATTCTTGCACCCCCCATTGTAAGAACTTCAGATCATTCTAGCGAGGAACACGCACTCGATCATCTCTGAGACTGGACGTAGGACTCTGGCCTGAACTGGTATAAATCCTCGTGTCTTTTGGATGCTACCATCGTCTTCCTAGAGCAGCGCGGCAATTGTATAATTTACTAGTCTGGTTTATAAAACACCGACAATGTTATTTATACAAAAAGCACTGCTAGTTTGCTTGTTATCTCCTCGGAATGATGTTTTGTTGACGGTTTTGACTATGCAAATATGTGATGAAATTACCATCAACACACTTCTCTTCTTCAAAGTGACGTAGGCGCTTCTTACCCAGCTTCGCACCGAGCATGATGTTTTGGGAGTGCTTGGCAGCTACACTCGGGATCCCTGGCATGTTATAGGGTTTGCATGCAAAGACGTCCCAGTTGGTGCAGACGAAGTCGACAAGTGCACTTTGCTATTTGTTGGACAGTGCGCTTTCGACCCACACCGTCTTTGAGGAATCCTCGGGGGTTGAGCTTTATCACCTTGGTGTCCTCAAATGGGCTCTGGGAGTCACGGCCGGGCAACCTCAGTTGTTGCCTGGGGGATCTCTATGAGCTCGACAGAGGTGATGACGCTTGAAAACATATATGACTTTCCATAAGCAAGATACTTTGTTCTTTTAACTTATAAGCATGTTCAATAACAGAAGTTTTAATGTAGCCATGTCTTAGTTATTGTTATTCAAGAACAAGGATTATAACAAAAACATGGATCATAATCAGATATATCTGGATATGTAATCCATGGCTCATCCATTGACAAAATATTTTATGGGCAATGCTGTGATGTCCAATAAGAAGGTATATTTAGATATGTACTCTGTGGTTCTTCCTGGATTTTTGGCAAAGGTAGCGGGGCCTTAGGAGGGGCTCCATGCTTCCGGCGACGGTAGCGGGGGCTCTAGCTCCGACTGCCTAGGTGCTAGATCCGCCCCTGTTCTTCCATTGACACAATATTTGACGATCAATGTCATGACCACCAATAATAATACCAATGCATATACTACTACCTTTGTCCTAAAAAGATGAAATTCTTGGTCGTGTCAAAGTCAAACTATCGTAAATTTAATTAAGCTTGTATGAAATTGTATCAACATATATGTATGACTCCAAATGGGTATACTACTAGAGAAAAGGTTTCACATGCTTTATTACAAAGCAAATTCATATAAATTGAGTTCAGTATGTATTCTAGGCGCGTCCACCCAATGCACAACATCCAGATTTACTCATTTATAAGTTCAAGTCTAAGACATGACTGCAAGGCAGCTTCCGTCTCATCAGAAACTCCACTCGCCTGATCATCCTCACTTATGCGGGGCATTGCAAGTGCCCCAGTCCACTCTTGTTGCATTCATCGATTGTGCTGAAGTTGATGTTAGATAGTTGTGATCCATGCTTCTCCATCCAAGCTTCTCTGATTCCATCGTCTTTGATTCCAAAGCACCAATGCAACCCTCCATCCTTATCCTTAATTTCTCCTTGTATATCACCTTCCACGGTTGTAGCATCTTCACCACTTCTCACAGCAGACTTTTCATCCCCCTCCATTCTTGTTCTTGAAAAAACAAATTTCGGGTTTTTTCCTAAGTACCACAGCTTGGACGCACACAAATCTTGATAGATATATTTCACAATGAATCCAATAATACTTATTTAGTATGATAAATTTTGATATCTTTTTGTATAAATTTGATCAAACTACAAATTGTTTGCCCTAACACCTTTTTAAGACTATTCTAGAATTGCATACTTTCGGGGACAACATAGTATCTTATATTCTCTTGGTGATGAAGAATTTTTCTTTTGATTTTGTCCTACCGCAACGTCTATAATCTGTTTGTGCCCTCATGTAAGTTGTTGTGACTCGTCTGATGTGTACTCCCTCCGTACGTAAAAGAATACAATTCTCATATTTCGAGAAACCAAATGCTGTCAAGTTTGACTAGAATTATATGAAAAATACTAACATTTATGATAAAAAAAATAAATATCATTAGATTAATTATGAAATATACTTTCTTAATAAACCGATTTGGAGACACAAATGTGAATACTATTTACTATAAACTTGGTCAAACCTAAATTACTTTAACGGGCACAGATATCATAGTCGCATTCTTTTCTAGACGAAGGGAGTAGCAATTTCCTTCTGCTCCAAGAAGCTTTCTTAAAATGACTCTCTAAATCACCATTTGGAGAGCCATTTGAATAAAAATCACTTTCTAACGTCTTTCCACCCTCTAACACTTTTATAAATTTTGTGCACACTCTAGAGGACCAATCTCACTCTCCATCTTTAGCTACAAAGAAATCTAAAATAGAGGATAACAATCCTTGAAGATCCAATTAAAAAAGCTGTTGAAGAATAATTTTTTATCAAAATCTTTATTCGTATCAATAAGGAAGAGTATAGAGAGGCTGATGGAGTTAGCTCTAGATTCATGTGTTCGTGCTGATATACTGTCAATTGACCTATGTTCATGTTCAGACTGGTGTTTGTTAGGTTTTGTCGTTTTCATTGTTTAGCAAATTTTATTGCACTAGTTGGGTGAACTTTTTCCCCCGTACATCCAATAGATAATCTGACAGGTGAGACCTTAGCCCACGAAGCCATCGTGTCGTGTGTCACTCCAGCGGTTTGGATCTAGCTGAACGCGTTGGCCAACCGACCTCAACCATCCAAACCTGTTTCGGTGTCTCGCACTGCAATAAAAAAGTGCAGACTTTCACTCCACCTGATGAGCTCACGCGGTCACGCCTCAGCATGCCATCTGCACGACACATTTCTTTTTGCATACTGGGATACAAAATCGTGTCAAGTTCAATTCATGCTCTGAGATGGCGTGTTAACCACGAACGATAAGGAACCCAGAGAGACAACTAGTGTGTAAAACTAACCATGTGCAGTTTGGTGAGCTACTAGCGCGACTGCCACACCAAGTCACCAACCTCGTCAGAATTCGGCTTACCAGAAGTGACCAGCTGAAACGTTCCGGCAACAGCCGAAACAACTACTAGTAATATAGCCGAAGCGAAAACGCCTACACACCTTCAAAATTAAAGCGGGTATGCTAAGAAAATCAAGTTCCGACTTGTGATCGAGCAGAGCAGCATGATGCCACTTCCTACCTCTCCTTCCTCAAGCCCAAGGCTGCTGCGCAGCAACAGCAGCGAGTGGCACGCCGTGGTGCAGCAGCGGAACGTCAGGTCCTCGCTGCTGCTGCTCCTGGTGCTCTCCACCGTCTTCGTCTTCTCTGTCCTGTACTCGTCGCACGGCTTCGGCGCAACAACGGCTGACCAGGCGCTCACGCAGAGGCAGAGCACGGATCATGGAGCCATCGATCGTTTTGTGCCGGGACAGGAGGAAGCCGATGAACCGACAGTAGTCCCTGCCGAGAACAATGAGGTACCAGAGCAGAGCCTACCTTCAGACATCTCGTTGCCATCAGCAAACACGTCAACAGCTCCCGCGGTTCCTGCGTCGAGCAGAGGCAGAGCAGAACAAACTGGTGATCAGAGTAAGTGCAATTTTACAGTGAACTGTTTTGGCATTTCCAAGCTATACAAAACGTTGCATTATCTGTGACAGTACTTTCTTCTAGGACATATGAGTATTTGCTTGAGTGTTTGATGGCGGCATGCCTAGGTTCGGCAGGAGCGGCGCATGCTGAGGAGAAATGCGACCTGTCTATAGGGAAATGGGTGAGGGAGCCACGGGGTCCGGTGTACACAAACCTGACGTGCCCGACGCTGCCGGACTTCAAGAACTGCCAGAAGTACGGCAAGGACCCCGGGCACCTCTTCTGGCGGTGGCTGCCCGATGGCTGCGACCTGCCGCGGTTCGCGCCAGAGCGGTTCCTCGACGTCGCCCGCGGGAAAACGCTCGCATTCATCGGCGACTCGCTGGCGCGCAACCAGATGGAGTCGCTGCTCTGCCTGCTCTCGCAGACCGAGACGCCGACGGACGTGTACCGCGACGCGTTCGACAAGTTCCGGACATGGCACTTCCCGGGGCACAACTTCACGCTCATGGTGATGTGGACGGAGTTCTACGCGCACGGCGTGCCGGTGCTCGGCGCCGACGGCAAGCCGACGCCCTCCTTCGACATCCACCTGGATAGGCTCAACGCCAACTGGACCAGCCGCCTCCCGGGGCTGGACTACGCCGTCATCTCCGGCGGCAACTGGTTCTTCCGCGTCAACTACCTCTGGGAGGACGGGCGCCGGATCGGCTGCGTCAACTGCCGCGAGCCCGGCCTCACGGACTTCGGGATCGCCTACGCCGTCCGCCGCGTCGTCAGGGCGGCGCTCGAGGCCATCGCCCGGTGCCGGGACTGCAAGGGCGGACTCGTCACGTTCCTGCGCACCTACACGCCCGACCACTTCGAGCACGGCTCCTGGTTCAGCGGCGGCTACTGCAACAGGACGCGGCCGCTGGAGGAAGGCGAGATCAGCTCGCAGAGCATCGGGTGGGAGCTGAGGAGGGTGCAGAGCGAGGAGGTGACGAGGGTGAGGGAGACGGCCGGGAGCACCAGCTTTGAGCTGCTGGACGTGACCAAGGCAATGATGCTGCGCGCCGACGGCCACCCCGGCGGGCACTACGACAAGCGGTGGGTCAGGAACGCCAGCGACTGCCTGCACTGGTGCCTGCCCGGGCCTGTCGACATGTGGAACGGCATGCTGCTCCAGAGGCTCGCACACATCTCGCCTCAGCCGCTGCTGTGAAGGGATCACATTGCCATGTTTTCTTCGAGCTACATACTGAAATATTGTTTTTTATATATAAAAAAAAGCAAATTTTGTGCGTCCCCAACATAGGCATGTGTGTGGCATCTGGACGGTCAACAAGTCGAGTGCATCGCCTCCATTCAGACACCGGCAACAATCATCTTGGCCAGTATGTCGTTGAACGTGTCGACCAGCCCCGGCGCGCACCAGTGCAGGCAGTCGTTGGCCACGGTCTCCGGCACGGGGCGCCCGTCGTACGAGTGTGCGAAGAGGTAGGGCCCGGGATGCCCGTCGGGACGCATGGTCGTCATCTTCGTCACGTCGAGCACCTCGAACCGCACACCGCCCCACCGCCGCGTCGTCTGCGCTGCTGCCGCCGTCGCCACCTCCTCCAGGACGACCTGCCTCAGCTCGGCGTCCGCAGTCGCCACCTCTGCCTCCCCGTCCTCGTACGGCTGCGTGCGCGAGCATGCGTCCCGGTGGTTCCAGCCGTACTTACTGTCAAAGTGAGCGGGCGCGATGGTCGCCACCACCACGAGCTTGTCGCCGCCGGTCGTCGACGACTTGGCGTTGACGTACTCGAGCGTCCTCCGGATCACCTTGCGGTACACGCCGAGGTATCCTATGTTGGTCTTGTTGACGTCCGGACGGGAGTACACCCCGATGACCTCCCCGTCCTCGTAGTACATGTCCGGGCGCGGGAACCAGTGGCCCGCCGAGATCACCACGACGTCCATTGCGCCGACGTCCGCCGTCCACAGCTCGGTGAGTGCGTCCAGGACCACCGCCTGCTGCGTCATGGCGTAGTCCTCCGAGTGGCCCTCGGCGCGCACGAGCAACGGCGACCAGTACGTGCTGACGTTGACGCCGTGCGGTGCCGGGAAGACCCACCGCCAGAACTTGCGCCCCAGCCGCTCCTCGTACCGGTGGACCGTCTCGGCCCGCGCCCCGGAGGAGAGGAAGCACACGAGGGCCTCCGCTTGGTTCCGCGCCGTGGAGTCGCCGATGAAGGCCAGGTGTTTGCCCCGCACCAGCAGGAGGAACTCCACCGGATTCAGCGACGAGAGATTGCACCCCGCGGGTTGCCAGCGCCAGTGCAGGTAGCCCTTGTCCGGCTTGCCGTTGACCACGCACTTCTCCGTGCTCTTCATGTCGCAGCTCTCACTGTCGCACCGTGGGCCGGTGACGCTGCCATCCCACACCCACTTACCGTCGCTGTAGTCACATAGCAACCATGCTGGCCATGTAAGAGATCGAATCAAATCGATCAAGAATGCAGTTATATTGTATTGCAGCCTTGCATGCAGAGCAACATGTAGTGACACACACACATATATCTTCAAAACTCAAAAGAAACGATGAATTGAATTACCTTGAGTTCATGGTAGAGAAGAGTTGTTAGCTGTTTGATGATGTGTCTTCAACTGGACGAAGGTATCGGTGTAAGAGATGAAAGAAGCTGGAGGGGAGTACAAGATGAAATAGACTAGTGTCAAGGTGAAGAGGGCAAACAGAAAACAACCCAGAAGCTTGCTAGGGAGGGAACAGCGGCCATGATCTGCTAGCACTTTTTTTTTTCCTCTCATCTGGGTACAACTCTAGCATCTGTTCGTACACACGCACGCCCACTCAACACACGTACACTACTCACATCACCGTGTACAAACAAACCTATAACTATAGGTAGATCTGAAGACCGCGTCCTTCTTGAAATCATCGAAATCTACTGATTTCGTAGACGACGGGTACATCATGATTCCAATATAACATCACGTATGAGAGGCAGATATGGATGAAAACGGTACGTATATTTATTCGACCGTCCGTTCGACCGAACAAATATGAACACTTATCTGGATAGTTACTCGGATATCCGTAATTTTTTTCGGATACGGATACTAAAACGGATATCTTAGGCGGATATCAAATACGGATGTAATATCAACGATATCCGGCGGATATCGGATAATCCGGATAAGTATCGGATATATCCGGATATTTAAAAACGGATATTATCCGGATATTATTCAAACGACCTTGGATGGAGAAATGATCAAAATAAAAATTGTAGATCTCAAAAAGTTATGAAACTTTGTTGTTTACAACTTTTTCGTTTGAAATCATTGTCCAAACTTTCTCAAATGGAAAACTAGTTTATAGGCGTCAAAATTTAAAAATCACAAATTTGAACCATCCAAACTATCTCAAATGGAAAGTTGACCAAAACAACAATTGTAGATCTTGATGAGTTGAACAAACTTGGTATTCAAAACTTTTCAATTTGAAGTCATTTAGAGTTCATAATACTAGAGTCAAAGTGTTGTTTTTTCATTTGACCAAATTTGACTTGGTCAAACTTGCTCAAATGAGACACTAAATGACCTCAGATGAAAAAACTCTGAATACCAAGTTTGATCATCTCAGCAAGATCTACAATTGTTACATAGCTCATTTTCCCATTTGAGAAAGTTTTATCAAACACTAGTCACAAATTCTTGAATCTCATATAGACTTTCTGAAAATATGTCACACACTTGTGAAATTTGAACTATATTTTGTTCAAACTTTCTCAAATGAAAAAATGGACTATATAAGGATTGTAGATCTTGATGAGATGAACAAACTTGGTATTCAAAACTTTTCAATTTGAGACAATCTAGGGTTCCGAAAACTAGTTTGTAAACGTCGAAATTTAAAAATCATAAATTTGAACCATCCAAACTATCTCAAATGGAAAGTTGACCAAAACAACAATTGTAGATCTTGATGAGTTGAACAAACTTGGTATTCAAAACTTTTCAATTTGAAGTCATTTAGAGTTCATAATACTAGAGTCAAAGTGTTGTTTTTTCATTTAACCAAATTTGACTTGGTCAAACTTGCTCAAATGAGACACTAAATGACCTCAGATGAAAAAACTCTGAATACCAAGTTTGATCATCTCAACAAGATATACAATTTTTACATAGCTCATTTTCCCATTTGAGAAAGTTTTATCAAACACTAGTCACAAATTCTTAAATCTCATATAAACTTTCTGAAACTATGTCACACACTTGTGAAATTTGAACTATATTTTGTTCAAACTTTCTCAAATGAAAAAATAGCCTATATAAGGATTGTAGATCTTGATGAGCTGAACAAACTTGGTATTCAAAACTTTTCAATTTGAGACAATCTAGGGTTCTGAAAACTAGTTTGTAAGCATCGAAATTTAAAAATCACAAATTTGAACCGTCCAAACTATCTCAAATGGAAATTTGACCAAAACAAGAATTGTAGATCTTGATGAGTTGAACAAACTTGGTATTCAAAACTTTTCAATTTGAAGTCATTTAGAGTTCATAATACTAGAGTCAAAGTGTTGTTTTTTCATTTGACCAAATTTGACTTGGTCAAACTTGCTCAAATGAGACACTAAATGACCTCAGATGAAAAAACTCTGAATACCAAGTTTGATCATCTCAGCAAGATCTACAATTGTTACATAGCTCATTTTCCCATTTGAGAAAGTTTTATCAAACACTAGTCACAAATTCTTTAATCTCATATAGACTTTCTAAAACTATGTCACACACTTGTGAAATTTGAACTACATTTTATTCAAACTTTCTCAAATAAAAAAATGGCCTATGTAAGGATTGTAGATCTTGAATCCATGACCATGACTCCATGAGACCCATGAAGCCATGAGCTTAGCTATTTCAACTCATGCTGCGAAGATTGGTGCTTGTATGATGTTTGATGTATGATGTATCTGTATCTTTATCTTATTTGTTGCTTTACTCTTTAGTCTTTCGGCTTAATTTAGATAGATTATGGACTCATAGAGTGGTGTAATGGTTAGCGCACGTATGATATATATATATATATATATATATATATATATATATATATATATATACTGCTTTTACTCAATATCCGAATAGATATTTGTATCCGACCTTCTCCGAATCCGATTCATATCGTATTCGATACTCATTATTCGTATCCGTAACCGAGTCAATCCGTATTCGTATATGTATCCGAACGCTATCCGTGTCCGAATCCAAATCCAAACAGAAATATAAAAACAAATATAATATGAGTGATATTCGTTCGTATCCGATCCATTTTCATCCCTAGTGACGGACACTCGGGTGCTGCACAGCAGACACCCGGATGCGACACCAGCTTTGCGATTGCCGGGGATCGAACGCTCGCGGGCAGACTCGCCACTGCGAGTACTACCACTGAGCCACTGGCTCGTTCGCGATCTGCTAGCACTTGTGTGGTTGCACCCATGTCTGATGCGAAGCTCTTGCTATAGTGGAGGTTACATCAAAGTGTACTGTAAAAGCTGCAAGATCTAGATCTAGGTAAGGGACAAACAGGGTTATAAGCTGTAATACTATTGGCAGGAGCGGTGACAGTGGTATAGACAAGCACCAGTCTCTCTCTCTCTCTCTCTCTCTCTCTCTCTCTCTCTCTCTCTCTCTCTATATATATATATATATATATATATATATATATATATATATATATATATATATATATATATATATATATATATATACATACACACACACACGTTGTTATAAAACACAGCAGAAAACAAGCTAATCAAAGAAAAGAATACACCTAATCTAAGGTGTAAACACTTTCCTCTGGGAAAAATAAGGACGTGCAAATGGTAAGTTCATCGTAAGTCACCACGGACAGAGATTACAAGTATCTGTATATGGATATTACATTAGAAAATGAACAGAGAGAGCATACATAAATATAAGCCATTTTCATTAGTTGTAAGTATACTAAGTATGAATTTCTAATACTTATATATCCTAATATTTTAGCATCGTTGGTTAGGTTTTGTACGGTGGAACCTATTCTCCTAAGCATCTATATTTGTATTGTGCTTTAAAAAAAACACTACACACGCACGTTGATCTTTGTAACGAAAACCAAAGAGGATCTTGGAAAGGAGGTGATAGATGATCAGGGTTGTCCAACGATAACATTTAGAGCAAAACCATGTAGGCTTATTAAATAAATTGTGGGCTAGACTAGTTAATGTTCTCGACATTTTCTTGCCTGGGTTTTCGAGGGCTATCGGTTGGTTGCTGGCCAAGCCTTTAGGTGGCATTTGGTTTGGGGCATGGGGGTGGGATAGGAACGAGGTGGGATATCCCACCTCGTCCGGTCCTAGCGTTAAGTTCAGGGACACTAGGGATAGAGTCATCCCCAGAAAGAAATATCCCCTCAGATTTGAGGGCAACCCGTTCTAAAAAATTAGAGGGTAACATCATCCCTTTTGGACATCTCTATTCTGTTCATGCCTTTTCTCTTCTTTTTTGCGACCGAGCGCTTTGGCTAGGGTGGCCGGCCCCGACTCTGGCGTGAGTGGGCGGCCGCGGCTCTGGCGGGGCTGGGCGGTGTCCACCCTAGCAAGAACTCCATCGAGGACGGGAGTGTCAGTCATGGGTGGGCGAGGTCAGAGGTAAAATCGTGGACGGGTGATGTTGGAAGGAGAGGCCAAGGTCGTGGACAAAGTCGGAGTCGAAGCCAAAGTCCTAGGAGTGATAATCGTGAGCAGGGTCGGAGCCATAGTGTATGAGGGCAGGGGTGACCATGGCAGGTGGGGCCAAAGCCAGGGTTGTTAGAACAACGGTGGCCATGGAGGGCGGGGTCGAAGCCAGGGCACTAGGCGGAAGCACCGAGCGGAGCATGGAGGGTGGAAGCGCTAAGTGGAGGTGAAGGGTATTGAGCGTAGATGCGACGACATGGGAAAAAGGAAGAAGAAGATGGTCACAAAGGCTCACATGCATGTCCCATTTGATGGTTCATAACTGATCTTGAACGATTGGCTATTCTTCTCTCTTTCCATCCCTCTTACTAAACACAATATAGGGACATACTTATCCCCTCAACCAAACACATACATAGGATGGTCCCATCCCATAAAACTAGAATGGATTTGTCCCGTACTTCCTTGTCCCCAAACCAAATACATCTTTAGTACATGTACTATAATTCTGAGGGCCTAGCGCGGTCATAGTATCTTAGCTGCCCTAGGGTCCAACACACCCGAAGACTTTGAGTCTTAAAAGGGAAATAAATCCACTTGCGTCAGAAGTGATTTCGCTAGGGTACTCTTGACCAAGAAACAAGG